CAGGATCCATAGATTTCTGCCAAATGTTTGCATCTACGTCTTGGATTGCCTCATTGTAGGTCCAGGGATCACTATCATGCTCTTCACTGGGGATCAAGTCCGAAGACTCTCCCACAAACATGAAACGATCAGGCTGACGAACAACCCTCCCATTACGACGAGGCAGTTCAGGTGTAAATACATCAGAGTCAACACGTTGTGCAGTCTCTTGTGGTATATCCTCTTGCACACTAGGTGTGCCATTGTCTTCCCTCAACTCTTTGAGAATAATCTCACTCTTGGATTTATGCTCACTAATATAGTCATCTTCTAAAAATCGGGCATTGGTGCTTACCACCACCCTCTGGTCTTTAGGACTATAAAACTAACCACCTCTTGTTCCCTTTGGGTAACTTACAAACAGCCGTACCTCTGTTCTAGGTGCCAACTTATCAGCTTCCTTATCCAACACATGTGTTGGGCAGCCCCAATTCCAAATGTGGTTTAAACTGGGCTTGCGCCCGGACCACATTTCTATTGGAGTTTTCGGAACCGATTTAGAAGGGATGAAGTTAAGAAGGTACACCGTTGTTTCCAAGGCGTATCCCCAAAACGAGATAGGTAATGAAGCATAGTTCATCATCGATCTCACCACTTCCAACAGAGTCCTATTTCTTCTCTCTTCTATGCCATTCTGTTGGGGAGTACCAGGCGCAGTCAGCTGGGATGTAATCCCATTCTCCAATAAGTATTGCTTAAATTCATTGCTTAGGTATTCGCCACCACGATCAGATCGCAGTGACTTGATACTTTTCCCTTGACGGTTCTCCGCTTCTGCCTTGAATTCTCTGAACGTGTCAAAGCATTCAGATTTGCGGCGCATCAAGTAAATGTACCCATATCTAGAGTAATCGTTAATAAAAGTAACGAAATACTCAAAACCACACAAATTAGAGTGAATCAATTCCAACATATCATTGGACCTATTCCCCTTAGCCTTAAAAGGCCTAGAAGTCATCTTGCCTTCCAAACAGGATTCGTAGACTGGAAATGATTCAACTTGGAAAGAATCCAAGAAGCCATTACCTACCAGCCTTTGGATCCTCCGTAGATTGACATGACCCAACCTTAGGTTCCAAAGATATGTTTGATTCGACTGAGAAGGTTCCTTTCTCTTGTTTAGTGATGAAGATGCATGAGCCTCAGCCACATTATGATATGCTCAACTAATAGTATAAAGATTGTTCACCAACATGCCAGAACAGATAAAAGAGTTATTTCTCATAATAACAACATTGTTATTAAAAATGACTGAATAACCATCCAAAAACAACTTCGTAACCGAAATTAAATTCTTTCGAAAACTCGGCACATATAAGACATTCTTTAATACTAAAACAGAATCAGAAAATAATAAGTGCACATCTCCAACTGCAACCACCGCAACTCGTGCAGCGTTGCCCAAGCTGATGGTAATCTCGCCCTCACTGAGCTGTCTTCTTTGCAGAAAACCCTGCAAAGTTTAACAAACATGATCAGTGGCTCCTGTATCTACTACCCAAGAGCTGGTAGAACAAACCGCAGAACATGTTTCGACAACTAAAGCAAGAGATGTACCAGGAACGTCCTTGAGGGGACAATCTGTCTTCCAATGTCCTGTCTTGTTGCACTTGAAGCACTTGCCTTCCGGCTTCTGCACGCCACCCGAAGGCGCTACAGCTTTGCTCTCACTATTCCCACAGCTCCCACTGGTTCCACCACTCTTTCTGCACTTGCTTTTTCTTCTTCCCACCTTTCGACGAAGAAGGTCCAGCTTGTACAGAAACGTGAGCCTGTGGTCCCCTTCTCATAAGACCCTCTGCTGCAACAAACTTCACAAGAAGCTCGGCTAGAGTATAGCCCTTCTTATTCATGATTGCACTCAGGCGGAAGTTTTCATAGGACTTCGGGAGCAAGTGCAGGATGATATCGATATTGGCATCGCCATCGATATTTCCTCCAAGCACATCTATCTCATTTAGATATTCTATCATCTTGAGAACATGCTCTCGCACAGAAGCTCCCTCCGGCATGACAGAAGACAGCAATTCTAAATTAATCTATGTCAATGCAATAATCAATTAACATGTTCAATAATTTATGCAATTCTAAATTAATCCATGCCAGTGCAATAATTAATTACATGCATAATTTATTGACACAATTCCAAATTAATCCTATGCATTACATAATTAATTAACATGCATAATTAATCTTGCAATACTAAATTAATCTCATGCAAGAACATAATTAATTGACATGCATAAATAATAATTTAATGGCATAATAAATTTAATTAAATAAATAAATCCACTATTATGGTCATTAAATATTGAGTCTCCTTAAATAAGGAAACTGTGACAGTTCTTTCCCTGTTCAACTGGAACTCCTTTAAACAGTAGAATCCTTGTTGATCTTGTACTGCTTGGACATTAAGGCAAAACCTCTCCACCTTCCTGCAAGCCGCCGCCGACCGCCGCCTCTGGCCACCGCCCGGCCGCCGCCCGCCGGTGGTCGAAAATCCGATTTTTTTTTCTTCGAGGCTCGTTGATCTCTTGTGATCTCCCGGTCATCAACACACGATCACAACACGAAAAATATAATTTACAAAATTACATAATTCGATCCTAGATCCAACAAATGGATGTACATGTTTTCTAAACAAATAATTAAATCTATCCGGTCAACCCCCGGGGCAATAATTATTACAAACATTCATCCATAAATTTCTCGACATGTCCAAGGCTTTAAAAACAAATTTAAAACCATACATCACATTCAACAACATTCATCAAACACATAATTGGCCAAAATAGTGGATTAACTATTTATCCTCCAAAACCAAGTTATGCAAATATAATCCAATATATGGCTGCGTTTGAACACATCTTGTCAAATAAAGCCGTAAGAATACGAACTTTGTACAAAACGAATTAACCAAGTGCTCTGATACCACTTGTTTGGATCTGTGAGGATATCGTTATGTATAAGTCACGAATTCAATAACAAACGTAAACATATGCGCAGCGGATCTAAAGGTTTGACATAGAGAACTTACGACTTAAAATTTATGTAGATCTGGTTGACCACGAACGGTTGACCGCAAATCACGTCTTGGGTTGCACGAACAAGATCAGATCAAACGAGTGCAAATAGATGAAGACGAACTTTGCAGCCAGGCAGCTTCTAGAGGCGCGTGAGGGCGCGTGCGTCGTCAGAATCCAGCGATCTTGGTGGCGATAGAAAGCTCTCGTCGAGACGGTCGTCGGGGTATGATGTGCGTCTCCATCGGATCTCCGATTAGTTTTGTAGGATAGAATATATTTCGTCTCGGTTTACCTACAGATCTTCTACTGTATTACTCAATACACCCTTCTTCAACTTGTACCAGTGGAGCAACAAGAAGAAGATAAAGCTCAAATGAGATCTAGAGAGAGAGACGTGGGGCGTTATTCACGTGTGTTTTGGAATTCCCATCTCTTCTCATGAGCTTAATGATGTATATATAGAGCTACAGTAGGGACCCTTAGGAGATTAGGAAAAGGACTCCTTAATTAATTAGACTAACTGTGGGCCAAGCCCACTCCTCTAATTAATTAAATAATATTAATGGGCCACCGACATTATATTATTTCACTCCATTTTTCTAGCCCAAATTACATTTGAGACTACAATAATAATTACTCGATTTACCTCCTCATGTTTAAGATATAATGTCCATTAATTAATTCGATTGCTGAAATCAAGAATTAATTAATTTATTATTATTTCACCGAAGCTAGCGCTCGTCCATCACATTCTTATTATGCCGGAACTTAATCCACCTGTAGGGTTTAACATAACAATCCTTCATGAACTCACTCCGGGGACATCATCAAACTAACGCACATGGTGACCGTAAATATCCTAACAGCACATCCTATATATAATAATATTACCCAAAACAGTAGGAATATTAATCCAGCGAACTGAACCTCACCCATGTGAATCAAAGTAATATATATTATATATATCTGCCTGTTTAATATCTTACGGGTTAAGAGAACGCAGTAATTAACCGAGGCCTAGTTCATTTACGACGATCAGTATAAAATGAACTTCTCCTCTCTGGGATCCTGTTCAATACATAAATGTACTAGTGTAACTAATCAGTCAAGACAAACTGTACAATTGACACTACAACCGTTCGGATGGGGTGTTCATGTCCATCTAGGTTGTGAACAACTATTCTTGTTGTTCGTAAAATATTTTCACTACCCGCATGTGTACGGTATAGCTATAGTGAGTGGCGAGCAAGGTCGTATTCCACAGAGATTGTTGTTAAAATAACTAAGTATCAAAATGTAAACGATTAAATATTATTTAGTCTAATGCAAATTTGAATGGTGATTTTATTCTAACTAATGAATGATTGCAAAATAAATTCTAACACTAATGAAGGCTTGTTTTAAGATAAATCAAGAATGAGAAAATAGATTCTAGGCTATGCTTTCCTCGGGATTATTCTAGCAAAGATTTCTTATTCATTCAAACCTTATTTAATTCTACCATTCGTAGAGATAATCGCTAAAGTAATTTACACCTTTCTCTCGAACAAGTTAAATCGTAGATATTAATTGTTATCTATCTCCTCTCGGTCTCAAGATGAACAACTAACTCCCATAAGCTCCTAAGATTCTAGTTCCCTCGCAAGATTCTATCAACCTCTCGGTCTGTTTAGTCTCTTACGTTATGAATTTCCCAATTCTAGCAATCAACTATCTCCTCTCGGTCTCAAGTCAATCACAAATATGCACAAATACGGGCCCTATATTCACACAAATAATAAAGGTACAAGAAATTGATAAACGAATGATAAACCGGAATGAATAAACAAAATCACTTCATAAAATAATCCGAGTACTCACAAATCCTAGAATCTCTAAAAGGTTTAGCTATTAAACATATTCTCAAAACTCAAAATAAATATATTCATGAGTTCAATGAAGAAGAAAAAGAGAAAAGAAAGAAGAACTATTGTCGCCGTTAGCTCCCAAATCTTCAATCTTGACTTCCTCGAATCCCTCGTGTGTTCCGTGCTTTCTCTAAGCCTCCAATGGTGTCAAAAGTCCCAAAAACGAGTTTCTCAGGTCTGTTTTATACTGTAGGGCACTTCTGTGTCGAAAAAGGGAAGAAATCGCGCAAGAATCCTATTCCCCGCTGATCAAGTCTGCGCGTCACACGAGTCGTGTCACATGCCACACGAGTCGTGTGACTTTTCTCAACATTTCGGCGAACTTCCAGACTCACAAGACTGGTCACACGACCGGGTCACACGAGTCGTGTGAGGCCACACGACCCGTGTCACAAGACACACGACCCCTGTGAAAAAGCCGTAGCTGCGTCTCTTATTCTCTCAACCCACACGACCCGTGTCACTATCCACACGAGTCGTGTGACCTCTTCTGCACCCGTTTTCGCCGTTTTTCGTCCCGATTTCATTTCCAACGCATTTCCGGGCATATTTCCTGCAAAACCAACGAAAAAAATACCTCTATCATAGATGAATAAATAAAACAAAATGGTGCACAATCACACGATAACCATGGCCAAATATCACAATATATCACTCATAATGCATGAAAATATGATGAATGTCACTTGTTCGCAAGTGACTGATAGAGTGATCTTCGGTTCGCCCGATGACGATCTACCCTATCTAAGTGCAGAACAAGCGTAGAACTTGTTTAATCTAACATGATTCTCATTCATAAAGGGTAAATGTGTAATAATATGCAAAGCCAAGTTTTCAGTATATAACACTAATACTTCCGCCACTGTCCGTCGTCCGCTATATATATAAGAGAGAGAGAGAGAGATCATTGTTTAGGGATGAATTTTTTAATTCAGATAAATTAATTAAGGATGAGAGGCAGAACATCCCGTTACGTAAATTAAGGACATACTTTTTTTTGTAACTGAATTTAGACTTATGTATAATTATTTGGATAAAGTAAGTAATAATATTAATAAATTAAATTGAGTTGTAATTGTACAAATTTTTGAAATCATAAAGCATGTTTCTATATGAGCTTATTTTATTATTAGTTTGGACGGTAAATTCAACTTAAATCTCTACTCCCCTTACATCCTCCAAATCAGTCCACCTCTTAATTTTTTTCCCTCTGCACTCTTTTTACTAATTTCCTCTTTCCATTTCATTCCCCACATATATACTATTATTAATATTATTCATTTATTTTGCTTCAAAATCATAAAAAATAGAAAAAAATTGGAAAGCTCTCTCTCTCTCTTAATCGCTCTCTCAATTCTCGTCTCTCTCTTTCTCTCTGTGAAATAGCCTCCAGGAAGTCGGGATCTCGGGCGTTCGAATCGATGCCCAGGAAGAGCTCGCGAGGCCCATTTACTACCGCAAGATGTTGGGCCCCTTTTTCGCATCCGTGAAAAGGATCGCAGTCGAAGGCGCCGAGAAATTGGTGTTTCTGGATTGATAAATTTAGGGATGATTTTAATTTACTCGTCGATTGAGGTATTTATCGAACCTAAATCAACTGTGATAGTTTTTGGGTGAAACCCTAGATGCTAATTGTTCCAACTTGTCATGGTAATTACACTGCTTTTTTTTTTCAGCTGTGTATGTAACTTGGGTGTTTTGAACGAGTTCTTAACACGAATTATTAAGCCATATGAGGTTCAGAGCTCGATTCTCCAAAACCCCACAACACAGATCCTAAACCGCTGACCATAATAGTTTCTGTTTCTTACTACTGCTTCAGACAAAAATGAAAATTTAATAACTGAAAAAGAGTCCAACTAAACATACTAAATTTATGAACAGAAAACAAAGCTTTTATTCATCAATCTCAATATATGAGATTCCCTCTGTGAAAGAAGACCCTGCCCAGTGGACACCGGTATATCATCTATATTGTGTTTATCATTACTTTCAAATATTAGTATAGTTAGTATAGGGAATATATTTCCCTCGCTTGCTCAGTTTGCTTTCTTTTGTCTCCATTGAGTTATGAATTATTTTTCATCATATGCTTCAGGTGTTGAGAAAAATATGTTGGTATCTGGCCTTGTCTCCTCATGATCCTATGCAGTCTAGTAGATTATTTTGGTGTATTTTATTTTTCTTCTCAAAGTCACACACACACGAATTATGCTAGAGTNTCGACTCCGTTTAAGGGGTCGGGTAATCGAGCGACCCTTTTTAATGTGGTCGGGCAGCCGCTGAAGTTCCCGACGGCTCCCACAATTAGTTTTGTTTCCCGGGATCTTATTCGGGGGCTGCTCGTTAAAGAGCCGTAGAACAGGCTGGCGTATAGACGTGGGGCAACCGAGATCAAGCAGCACCCGCTTTTTCAGAGCGTGAATTAGGCTTTGATAAGGTGCGTGAGCCCTCTGAAGGTGCCATTGCGGTTTGTGATAGGCTAGGAGGTGGGTGGGCCTGGGCCCATGGCGTGAATGGCCCGCGGTGTTGACGTGAAGCCGTCCGGTAATTACTACGATTTTTTCTAGGATTTTATTTCCTTTTGTTGAGGGCCAGTGTAAATTGTTGTTGTTGAGTTGGTGATTTTTTTTTCTGATGCAAGGAGATGAGAGATGAAATTGGCATAATACAGAGGAAAATGAAGAAATAAATAAGTGTTTTTCTTATGATTGTTGTGATTATGCATAGATTCAAAAAATTATCTTCGGTATTTCACCATGATGATTTTGTTCCTGCAAAATTTCAGGTGATCATCAATCTTTCCTTTTCTTTCCTTTTGATGAATGAATTTCATAAGTAGTATTTGTATGATAATCTATAATCCAATACCAAATTACGAACCTTTCACTGCTAAAGGCAAAGATTGAGCAGAGCTAAGAGAGCAGCTTCAATGGATTCATAATCCCCCGATGCGAGCATGAAAATTAATCAATGGGGAAATTGCTCCATTTTAGGCTAACCTTTGTCTTTCGTCATGGTTAAGCCTGTGACTTTCCCCAGAGGCGAAAATCCGAGCTTTTGGTTTACCGAATGGAAGGGAATCTGCCATGGTTGTTTCCATATTCATTGGATTTCAGCCAAAGCTTCAATTTTGAGTGGGGGGAAAAGAAGTTTGGTAAGTAATATAAAATGCAGTGCAAATTATAATTTGATCTGCATTTTTGGGGTTAAGAAGAAAATGGCTCTTATTTGTTTTCTGTTTATTGTTTGAGTTTGAAGCACAACACTAATAAACTACCTCAGTCTTCTATACCTATCCTAAAGTGGAAATGACTTTTGAGTGAATGTGAATGCAAATCTTTTTATCTTTCCTTTTAACTGGGAGAGCCCATAAATTTGAGGTAGAATGCATGTTAATTGAGGTAGAGCTCATAAAAATGACGTGGTGGATATAATGAATTTATGTTTTATAAAGTGATACCGGTTTTCCTTCATGTAAGTATCATCCTTATCTCCTACAATAATACTCGTTTTATCGTGAGCAATAAAAATTCGTGATTAGCAATATTGTACCTGTTTGTCTTAAAACAGGTACCAGATATACGTATGACAGTACAAGTTTTACCTATAATGGTACCAGACCTAAAGTAAAATAGTACCAACTTTTGGTGGTTTAGTACCAGATATCAGGTCTTTAGTACCAACTCGGAAGATCGGTATCAAATTATGGTTACATGACTCATTAGCACTCTCAGATTAGTTTCTATGAGATTTAAAATGTGTTTAGTTAAGTTTAATTGTAAATTGGTCACGAACTCAACACACTAATGAAAAAACACCACTACTCTTCATCGAGTCTTTACTACCACTTGTAATGAACAAATGAAAACACCGAATTTCGGTCGCAAATGATGTTTATACGACCCATAATCACTCTCACATTAGTTTATACGAGATTTAAAATGTTTTTCATTGAGTTTAATCATAAAATAGTCATGAACTCGACACACTAATGAGAAAACACTACTACTATACTTCACTTCATTGAATGACACACTTCATCTCATAGAATCACCATACATGACTACTTAAATTTCTACCTATATGTTTTAACTTCCACTATTTTTCATCCAAAACCACGCGTGAAAGATCCACGTGTCATGGTAGACATTAAGAATTAGAGAAATCATGATTCTTAAAATAGTACCTATTTTAGCCAATGTAGTACTACATCTTTTTCTACGTGGTACAAGTTTTTGATCGATTAGGGCCAACTTTCGGTCAACGAAAATGGATTATTCAATTGTGGTCAATATTTGCAATAATTGGTACCAGACCTAGAGTAAGATAGTACCACTTTTGTATTGCAGTAGTACCTGATATTGGGTCTTTAGTACTACTTGTAATGAACACATAAAACAACGAATTTCGGCCTCGAATGATGTTTACATGACCCATAATCACTCTTACATTGGTTTATATGAGATTTAAAATGTTTTTAGTTGAGTTTAATTGAGAAAACACTACTAATATACTTCATTTCATTGAATGACACACTTCATCTCATAGAATCATCACACATGACTACTCCAAATTCTACATATTTATTTTAACTTAAACTACTTTTCATCCAAATCAAGCTATAACGATCCACGTGAAAAGGTAGACATGAAAGATTAAAAAAAATACATTTCCTAAACTGGTACCAGTTTTTGCCATAATAGTACCACATATTGTTTTACATAGTACCAGTTTTTGAGCGATTAGTACCTACTTTTGTGAAAGAAAAATTGATTATTTCAATTTTACTCAACATTTACAAAAAGTAGTACCGGACCTAAAGGAGGATAGTACCACTTCTGTATTGCAGTAGTACCTGATATTGGGTCTTTAGTACTACTTGTAATGAACACATAAAAATACTGAATTTCGGCCTCGAACGATGTTTACATGACCCATAATCACTCTCACATTAGTTTATATGAGATTTAAAATGTTTTTAATTGAGTTTACTCGCAAATTGGTTATGAACTCGACACACTAATAAGAAAATACTACTAATACACTTCATTTCATTGAATGACACACTTCACCTCAAAATCATCATACATAACTGTAATATCCCATTCAGTAATTCATAAAAGTAATTATTTCAGTTCTAAGTTAGAACTATTTTACTTTTATTAATAATGATCTTTTATATTTCCAAGCCTTAATAAATCTCTTAGAATTTTATTTTTCAGTTGGCTCGACATTAAAGTTAAATCAGAATCGTTTTTCATTAAATTGAGTTAGTCGAGTAAATGTTATAAATTGCCTAAGTATTTTATGTGACTTATATGATTTGATAAGTTATAAGGATTAAGTAGAAGTTATTTAGACAAGAAGGTCTATTTATATTATTAAGAATATATTCGAAATTATATTCGCAAGTTTCGAGTTTTTCGATGTTCGGTTGTAGACGATAATTAAATCCGATTTCGTTTCCGGAAAATTTATTTTCTTGTATCTTTTTACAAGTTTCAAGATCATTAATAAGAGTTAAAAATTTTCAGCATAAAAAGGAAAAAGGCCAAAAGCAAAAGATGGAAATCTGAAATTTTCAGAATTTTCGATTTTTCGGTAACCGTTCGTTTTAAGTCAGAATTCGGTTCTGTAAATTGGAGATTTTTCATTAAGTCACGAATTTTATCATGGAAACTAGATTAGGATCACAAGATGGCCCTTTCTAAGCATTGACTATAGATTTGAGAAGTTTACAAGTTATGATTTTTATTCTTTATCTTTATTTATTTTTATAACCATTTTTTTAGTATTTTTAAGCAATAAATGAGCCATTTAAGACTAAATTCGAGCCATAATGGAGGATTGGTCAAATGGAGGAGTTTGTCTTGATATATACAAGATGAATCATGCATTACAAGTACTTTTCAAAGCTTACTCAACTTTGTGCATGATTTTAGAAAAACATTAATGGCAAGGGCCCTAATGAGTTTATTATGATGAAGTATTGATGTGAAGAAGGTGATATTGTCTCCTTTGCTACCCTATATAAAGGGGTATCACCATAGACTCGAAATTCACATCATAATAAGCAAAGTCTTAGCTAAAGAGGGTAAGAAAGAGAGATAAATTGAGAGAAATCTTGACGAAGATAAGTTGAGATCAACTTCCGAAGTTTCATTTTCAAATTTCTTGAAGAAGGTTAGATGCTACCTTTTTATCATATGTTATAGTTTATATTAAGTGAATATTGATGTATTTTCATGCCATATATATATATTCAATTTTTAAAGAAATTTTAAAAATAAAAAAAATATGATAAGTTGTTTCCAGCACAATCACATGTTATATATGTACTGTTTTGATTTGAATTTGAGCATGATATGCATAACCTGGTATGTTAAGCTTATTATGGATATTTCTTGTGTAAGTGCTGAGTATATAGGTGAAAGAATTATGTCATTTGGCATAGTATAGCTTGAGTTATAAATTTTTGAAGTTAAGCATGCAAGTTGAATTTTATGTTCTTTATTTCAGCTGTGACTTTAAAATTTTAATAACTCGATATATACGCATGATAAAATTATGAAATTTTTACGACATGCTTATATATGGGTTAAGAACATGACTGCCAAATTTCATGATTTTATGTTGAGAAATGAGCGAGTTAAAATATTTATATGGCATACATGTCAAGATGATTTTATATGCAAGAGTATTTAGTACATGGTTAAGTTTTAAAATGGAATTTTTAGAAAAAAATTCTTATATGAGTAATGAGCAATTTGACCAAGTTTTAGTTTAATATGTTGAGTATACAATTTTATAAAGATTGTTGTAAATCTCACATATTAATATTATGATGAAAAGTTTAGTATGATTTGAGTTATTTTTCACTTTCGAGATAATCAAGTGAAAAATGAGTATAAGCCATATGTATAAGATTTGGGAGAAATAATATGAGTAAGTATTTGATTGAGTAAAAGATCAAGAAAAGTTTGAACCATAACAAGAATATTGAGATTTTATAAGATTTGGATGATTTATCCGAAAGAGTTGAAAATCCGAGTATACGAGCATAGTACTTAGTATATTTGTTTACGTATTTTTATGTAGCTTGAAGAGTTAGCTACTCGAGACCAACACTTACGATTTCAAAGGAGAAAGGTGGGGACCCAGACTGGGTATTACATTGAGTATAATATTGATATCATGTTCGAGGTATGTATACAGTTTAAGTTTATACGCTTGGGATGAGGAGGCATTAATTTGTCTCGAAGATTATATCCTAAGTTCTGATGGAGGCGATACGTGCCTTAGAAATATCCATCAGATTGTGCACAAGTATCCGATAATATATCGGCCAGATTAAGTTACAGTTATTATATATATACCAAAGATCATGATATTGTATTATTATTGATGTTTACTTTAGTATGGGTATTAACGGGGTACAAAAGGACCAGTACTCACCCCCATTATGTTTTTCAGGTAACAGGGTCGGGCCGGAGGTGTGAGCAAATAAAGTGGTGGTGATGGTCGAGTACTCATTTCAAAGGACATTTGTAATAAATGAAATAAGTCTGTATAATTATTCACGTTTTTAAGTAATTCCGCTACGCTTATTAATATGTGAACTTGCATTTTAAATAAATTCAGATTTCAAGTTTTTATCATTTCATAAATATGAACATGATATAGTTAAATGCAAGTATATATATAAATCTGTTTTGTTATGTCTAAAATAAATAATTAGACAAAGTTAAAGTTAAACAGATTTTTAGGAAGAAGGAGTTTAAGTAGCATCCCGAGTTATTCGCAAAAAGATTTCGAAAGAGTTATAAGTAATTTCGAAATAAAAGTTGCGAAAAATTTACTCTGATAAGCGGGGTGTTACAGGTGGTATCAGAGCCAAAGTAAGTGCTCTGTATACTAAAAGTTTAAGTTTCAGGAAAACCGACCACACCACACTCACACCTCGCCGACTACCAGGTAAGTGTTGTTAAGTTTTATGAAAGTTTTTATATAAGCAAATTACTAAGTCTATGCTCAATAAGATTCGGATATCCAAATTAGAAAAGATACTTAAGCAAAGATTTTAAGACTATCATGTTACTCCCAATAAATTTAGAAGTTATCAAGTTAATAAATAACTTGTATAGAAATAATGGCTTAT